GAGAGAGAGAGAGAGACCCTTTTGACATCTAAAATGTAGATAACACTGCATATATCCTTTTTTACCTGTGTGTGTATGTAATTTTATTCTCTTAAAGCATTCTCTTGGTGATCATTGTTTTAATAGTATGGATATTCCCAAGAGTCATATTTTTACTTTTATTTTTAATGTGTGTGTGCATACACACACACACACACACACACACACCTATAATAAAGGTAAAAAAGGATATATACAGTGTTATCTTCATTTTAGATATCAAAAGGGTTTTGCGGCTCCCGGTGTTTTGTTTTTGGTGGGAAACGGGTCCAAGTGGCTCTTTGAGTGTTTTGGGTTGCCTACCCCTGCTCTAAGCAGTGTACACCAGTAAGCAATGCTTACTTACATTGCCCCCAACAATCTGGGTCCTCATTTTACCTACCCCGGAAGGATGGAAGGCTGAGTCAACCTTGAGCTGGTGAGATTTGAACCGCTGACCTGCTGAACACAGTCAGCTAAAGTGGCCTGCAGTACTACACCCTAACTGCTGCGCCACCTCGGCTCATTAGAACCAATAGGCATCCGATTCATTGACTGACTAATTGATTGATTTCAATGATGTCAAAAATGTTAAAACAGAGAGAAAGAAGAGCAGTAGGATAGAGCTAATAGCTGAAAAATCTTCATATAGGAAACCCACATGAGAATGAAATTATTCATTTAGGTACCTTTTAGGTGATTACCCTGCCCTAAGCAGGGATTAGCAAAGCCTTCTTAGAGGATCCCTCGTCACATTCACCAATATTCCTGTTCTGTTTTATATTTCAGAATTAGTAAAAGATTATTATTTCAACACTGCTTTTCAGAATTGCAATATTTGTCACATAAATGATTTTTAGCTTGTTAGAAATTATGTATATTAGAGAAGTTACTTACCACTTATAAATATTTTTACCCTCTTTGTCATCAAAACAAAAGAATATATCAGTGAGGGTAAGAAGAGGTCAGTCAACTCCTAACATTGCAAAGCCACTTTGAAGAATTTATTATGGTAAAAATGCAGAGACAGATTCTAGGCTAGATCCGCACCATGGAATATTCGCAAATAAATGGAAATCGGGTGTCACCTAATTTACCTGGAAGCATTTTGAATGTTTGGGCCTGAGATCAGCTGAGATAGAATGTTGTTGTGGGTTGGTTTTTTTAAGTAAAGAAAACAATTACAATTTAATGCTAGGGGGAAGAAAAACAACAATGGCACAAGCATTATTTTCTCAGAAGAGAACTTTCCATGTATGCAAGAGCTGCTACCATGAAGGAGAGTTAAATTTATTCATGTCATGACAGCATTGGATGCTGCCGTCATATAGAATAGGTAGTGCAATAAAGCATATAGTAAATTCCTTCCAACAAACTTCAACAGAAATTCCTAAGGCTGAGATGGATTAAGTGTCCCTCATTTATGTAGAAAACAGAACGTACATGATGTATTTGTAAAGGTCCACCTTGTCCACAACAGGGATCAAAGAAAGATGGAGATAGGAAACTTTGTTGTATGTTTTTTTGTAATTGCCACAAATGGACAGGTTTTAAAATAGAATCTGGGGAAGTAAAAAGTACCAATAGCATTTGTGGTGAACATAAAAGATAACTAAGGAGCTTGATGCTTGTTTTGAAAATCGGTATTCTCAGGAATATTCTCACACACCAAAATTCAGAAGCCTCACTAGTCTTGCTATCCTATTTCTTCAAGTTTCACTACCCTAGAGTGTCACAGGAAAAACCTGTGATGACCCAGGGCACAGCACAGAGGCAAAACAGTCAACTAGCAGTTCAAACCGCTCTTTAGTTGCTCCAATTTTCCCCAAATGCTCCCATGTTTCTGGCAAGCCCCAGAACAAAGTAAGATACACACACTTTTAGCAGCCTCTGGCTGCAAGTAGTTTCACATACAGTTAGATTAGAAGAGTAATTTACTCAAGGCCACGTAGATAGCAAGGAATGAAACATACATCCAAAATCTAACGAGTCTGTGGAAATACAAACTTGCCTGAGCAGTTTCAGAAGAGAAGCCAAAATACAATCTGAGGTTTTTGAACACCAAATCAAGTTTGTCAGCCAGTCCAACGGTCAGAGTTTCAGGGTTTTCAAGCAGAAATCACAACATAGAACAAAAGATCAGAGAGTTGTTTCCAAGATCAGCAATAGCACACAAAACTCCAAGAAATCAGCATTTGTTCCCAACAAATGCCCCTCCCCACAGCATCTCCTTAAGTCTCAGTCTCCAAGTGTGCCTTGTGGAGAGGGGCAGGGCGCTCTCCTCCCCAGTAGTTGAGCCTGCCTGGTTGTTCCCTCCTTCTCGCCATTCTCCATGCTCTAGGATCAGAGGGGGTGCCCTTGCTCATCTCCTGATCCTTGTCTCTCATGTTCATCCTGTCCCAATCCTGAAAGGCCCGGGCCTGCCTCGGCCTACTCTTCCCCACATTCCTCTGAAGCCACAGACACCTCTCCCTCAACCTCCATAGGGTCCAGTTCCAGCTCATTTTCCTCAGCAGATTCAGACTCCAATGGAGGCATGACAAAACCTTTGTCTGTATGCTTCTGATCTGTGCAGGCATAGACACATCCCAACATTTGAATGTCTTTTCCAAAGCTTTCATTGCTACTTTACCATGTGCCAATGTGTGCAATATTTCTTGACTGCTTGACTGTTCATTTATTGTTGATAGTAAGGTGACCAACCATCCTCCTTTAAGGAGGACAGTCCTCCTTTTGTGAGTTCTGTCCTCCCTCGAAATGTGTCCTCCTACATGTCCTCCTTTTGGATATTTGAAGACTAATCTGCAGGGCTTTTTTTTCTCATAGAACACTCAGAATGGTGTTCCGGCACCTTTTTTGATGATTTTTTTTGTATGAGCTGTGCTACTCCCCCTATTGGCTTTTGAAAGCCAATAGGAATTGCTGCTGAGCACGCCAAAACACCCGACTGGCAAACTTTGCACATGTAACTTGTCTGCAGCGAAGGTGAATTGGCAGGAACTTTGCACCCCTCCCTGCTACCCAACTACACCATCTCCTAGTTAGTCCCGAAGATACCTGGAAGAGACTGGAGCGGCGACACCACGGTAACTTTCTCTTGATCTTTGGCCCTGCTAGGGCAATAATGGCTGCGGGTGCAAGAGGCAGGGGCAGCGGGGCTGCCTCGGGCGGGGGTGTGAGGGGCGGCAGTGGCCAACTGCCCCCCATGCTGTGGGAGCCACGGGGCCTGCTCTACACGGGGCTGCACAGGGTGGGTGGTGGTGCTGGCGGGGCGGCTGCAGGCAGGGCGACTGCAGACGGGGTGTGTTGATGGCGGGCTGCCCCCCAGGGCTGGAGCTGGCACAGCTGGTGCTTTAGGAGCCATGGGGCCTGCTCTACACGGTGGGGCAGCAGTGCTGGTGGGACGGCTGCAGGTGGGGATGCAGCATGTAAGCATAATTACAGTATAAAATGTTATTGTTACAAATGTTTTTTTATTATGCATTTATCATATTATAGTGTATTCTGTATTATTGTTGCAATGAATAGAATGTTTCTTTTATTTATGATATTTTTTTCAATTTATTTGTGTCCTCCTTTTCATTGTAAAAAAGTGGTCACCTTATTGATAGTTGATCGCCAAAGGCAGAAACTGTTCACCACTTCAATATCTTCATTGTCAATGTTATAAAATCCTTCAAAAGATTTACCCCAAAGAATGAGAGCTAGGAAAAATAACCCAATAACGGAGTGCTTGTGAATGGTGGCACTGAGTGGTGGGTATGAGGGAAAGAAAGGAACTTGAAGCAAATATGACTCATGCAAAACACTTCAGGGAAGAGAGGAGAATTATTGATGTAAAAAGCATTTAGAGAACTGCTTTGCAAATTACATCAAATTGAGTGAAACATAGTTCCTCACAGTACTGAGGCAGCTGATTCCTTTGAATGGTTTTCATGAAAGAGCTATACTGCACTTGCATACAGAGAAAATCATTCTGCCTGGGCTACTGGCAAAAGAAAAAAATCTCTGCATGCACAGACATAGGGGGATGACCCAGGAAGGCCCTCAAAGTACCACTCTAACCTTCCCTCAGGATGTGGCTGCCCTAGTGCTTTAGGATAGGGGCTTTGAATGTATCAAACTATTCCTTTGAACTCTTTGCCATGAGGATTATTTTCAGTGAATGGAGTCGGACAGATTTCAAAAGGATTAAAAGCGAAAAACAGAACTACTGTGAATAGGAAGAATGTACTCTGCTTTAGAAATTAATATACTGTATATACAGGTAATCCTGTTCAGTCCAAAATTTCTGTTGCTAAGTGAGACAGTTGTAAGGTGACTTTTGCCCCCACTTTATGACCTTTCTTACCACAGTGAATCACTGCAGTTATTAAGTTACTAACACGGTTGTTAGATGAATCTGGCTTCCCCATTGACTTTTCTTGTCAGAAGATCACAAAAGGGGATCACATGACCCCGGGACACTGCAACCGTCATGCATATGAGTCAGTTGCCAAGCGGGATGCCGCAGTGATCTAAGTGTGAAAAACAGTCATACGTCACTTTTTTCAGTGCCATTGAAACAGTCGCTAAATAAACTGCTATAAGTCGAGGACTGCCTGTTCTCAGGGATAAGCTGACTTTCAAATTTTTTTGCCAAGATACCATGAAAAATGCATCACCCACTGATAAACCAAGCCTTCCAAATCTTCATATGTTTCAATTTCTACAATTAGTCGAAATTGGATGGGACATTTTAATTAAAAATTTGAGAACTGTCTTAGCCATACATAAGCTTATTTGTGAACATATACAGCAGGGGTGTCAAACTGCCGGCCCAGGGGCTGATTGTATCATGTAGAGGCCGTGCCCACCTCAGCTCCGGCACTGTAAAAAAAGTCACGATACGTCGCAACACATCACGTGACACGGTGAGTTTGACACCCATAATATACAGGATATACAAGTAGTTTTTAAAAGTATTACCATATATTCAGTACCTGTAGATAAGCCCATCCGTGGATATGCCAAAGCCATTTTTCGGGAGTCTGTTGGCACCAAAAATTCTCAGCTTATCCATGAATATCTAGAGTAATGTATAAATAAAACAATCAAAATAAGGCAATCAAATATTTTCAGGACTTGTCTTGAATATTAACAGATAGCACAGTTGGAAAGTACCTTGGAGATCTTCTAGTCCAACCCCAATGTTTCTATGTCATATAAAGTATCATGTCTCTGTGCTGTAATAGACTATTCAAAGATAACAATTTGATAACTCACATCAGAGCTTATTTGAATTATTTGGGGGTGATTATTCAAAGTCCAATTTTGTTTAAAAAAGGAAAAAGACAAGCAACAACTCTTCTTAAAATCTCTTTGAAAGACAAACTGCCCAAATTGTGTTGCATATTTGTAGTACAAGTAGGGTCTTTGTCATAGCAATATTTTAAGATAATGTCACTTCCATTTCAAAAATACTTTCTTAATCTGTGTAGTATAAATTGTTCTTAAGCTCCTTAAAATGCACCAGATGCTACAGCCTTTTCTTTAGAAATTTATACAGGTGTAGAAATCAGATACCTGGATTGTATATTCGAAGATTGTTGCATCCGTCTTTACAAAAAGGGAAAAAACAGTCTAAACCGTAAAAATCAGATTAGAAACACAAGTTAAGATAAGCAAGTAAATGGTAAGTGAGCACCTGTCCATCCTAGACAAGTTCAAATCACCAGAACCAGATGGACTACACCCCAAGGTTCTGAAGGAACTGGCAGATGTGTTCTCAGAACCACTGAACTATATCTTTCAAAGATCCTGGAGCACTGGGGAACTACCAGAGGACTGGAAAAGAGCTGATATAGTTCCCATCTTCAAAAAATGGATCCAGGAAACTACAGACCTATCAGCCTGACCTCAATACCTGGGAAGATTCTGGAAAAGATAATCAAGCAATGAATCAGCGAAACCTAGAGGCAAACAAAGTCATTACTAAATGCCTTGATAAGGCCACCACTTGGAATACTGCATCCAGTTTTGGTCACCATGATGTAAAAAAGATGTTGAGACTCTAAAAAGAGTACAGAGAAGAGCAACAGTGATGATTAGGGGACTGGAGGCTAAAACATATAAGGAACGGTTGCTGGAATTGGGTATGTCTAGTTTAACGAAGAGAGGTTTTTAAGAAGAGACTGGAAAGATGACCTCCAAGATCCCTTCCAACTTTATTATTATGTGTGTAAATAATAATAATAATAATAATAATAATAATAATAATAATAATAATAATAATAATAATAATAATAATAATGTTGGAAGGGACCTTGGAGGTCATCTAGTCCAACCCCTTGCTCAAGCAGGAAACCCTGTACCATTTCAGACAAATGGCTGTCCAGTCTCTTCTTAAAAACTACCAGTGTTAGAGCATTCACAACTTCTGGAGGCAGGTTGTTCCATTGGTTAATTGTTCTAACTGTCAGGAAATTTCTTCTTAGTTCTAGGTTGCTACTCTCTTTGATTAGTTTCCATCCATTGCTTCTTGTCCTGCCTTCAGGTGCTTTGGAGAATAGCTTGACTCCCTCTTCTTTGTGGCAACCCCTGAGATATTGGAAGACTGCTATCATGTCTCCCCTAGTCCTTCTCTTCATTAAACTAGACATACTCAATTCCAGCAACCGTTCCTTATATGTTTTAGCCTCCAGTCCCCTACTTATCTTTGTTGCTCTTCTCTGTACTCTTTCTAGAGTCTCAACATTTTATTTACATCGTAGTGACCAAAACTGGATGCAGTATTCCAAGTGAGGCCTTACCAAGGCATTATAAAGTGGTATTATCACATGATCTTGATTCTATCCCTCTGTTAATGCAACCTAGCACTGTGTTGGCTTTTTTGGCAGCTGCAGCACACTGCTGGCTCATATTTAAGTGATTGTCCACTAGGACTCTGAAATCCCTCTCACAGTTACTACTATTGAGCAAGATACCATTTATACTGTTACATGTGTGTGAGAGAGAGGGGAGAGGGAGGAGAGAGGAAGATGAGGCAACTGTTTGCAGTTGCAGATTTAGATAAACTGAGGAACTAAAAAATCATATTTGTTCAGATTTAGTCTCTTTATATTTCTCTTTGTGGGAAGTCAGACCACCCCCCCCCCCAGAGAAGGAAATATTTTGGGGAATATTAAAAAGGCAGAATATTATATTTCCCAAAAGGATCTTAAAGGCAGAAACCACCACCCTACAAGTCTCTCTGCCCCAAGCAGAAACCAGGTCTGTAGAAATGCAGATCTGATAATCCTTTCAGAAAAACTGGAGCCAGGAAGCTTAGAGCTGTTGGGATTAGAAAGACAAAAGATCCCTAGAACCAACAACCCCTCACCCAAAAATTCCAACACAGGACATAGCCATCAGCCACAGCCCCAGGGAAGCAGGATATGATCTTTAGGACATAATAGGATTAACCCACCACCATCAGAATACCAGAAGAACACATTGATCCTCAGGTCAAAGTTCATGGCACAGGAACAACTCCAAACCCAAAAGACCAAAAAGGTATAAAAACCCACCACTCCCAGCTACGTATGGCAGCTTTACCAGAGCTACATTTCTGTCTGGCTCTGCTCTTCAATAAATATAACCTTTCTAAAGCAGTCTCCATTTTGCTCATTCCTGGCTTGGACTGGATCCTGATGAAATTTTTCTTTTAACAACTTTATATCAATTTAAGTGGACCCAAACACCCCAACTGGCATTTTGGGGGAGGGGAGGGTGAATGGATGGATAATACTAAACCTTCTTTATTTTAGTTTTGTTTTTTATTTGATTGTAAATAATATTTTATTTTTAAAAAACTAACAACAAGGTTAGTATTGGGAGACTAAAAGTTTCAGGAAAGCCCTTTAGGGGATCTGAAGAATTGTTTGCAGTTGTAATATAAAAACATACAGTGAAGCATATCACAATAATCAAATTATAATTCTATCAATTAGTGTCCTGCTATGTCTGTTAAAAAATCATCAGGTTGGACTGCAAACTTAGATTTTAATCTGTGGCTAGCCACATCAGCTCTGCAATTCTGTAGAGGTTACATTTTCAGGAAGCTACAGTTAAGCAAGTTAGATTTCTTTTTTTTCCCCAGAAACACCCACAGTTTTAAAATAAATGTGATGAAATTTCTAGTGCATTCCCTTTTAGCTTGTTACAGAACCATCTCTGGAGTTTGGGGAATCAGGGAATGGGTTGGGGGGAGTGCAGGGTGAAAGACTGTAGCAGTTTACTACATGTAGGATAATATATGACTTGTCTCATTTTTGGTCAGTTTTCTTTGGACTCATAAGCTAAGCAGATTAGGTCTTGATTAGTTCATCCATAGGAATCCCAGGGCTATAGGTTAGATATAATGGTTGAAAACATGCTCAAAGAAGACATTGGCAAACCACTTCTCTATAGTTGCCAAAAAAAAATGTTTGGCTGCATCACACAAGTCTCAAACTTGACTTAAGGGAATCTTTAACTTTATACACTATGCTATAAGCTATGCTACATACTATTTGCTTGTTGGAATCTAATGAAAAATATGAGACTTTTAACAGTATATCTTCATGTATTTTAACTTATTATTCTTGCTCTAAGAGAGAAGATGAAGCAGCTTGAAGAATCACCATTCTTTTAGTTTATAAGGAAACCGTCCTTCTTGCTTCAGTAAGAACACACACTCATTCACTCAGTTCTACCTCCAGAATTCCCCAAGGAGATGAGTCTCATTCAGTGTAATAAACCTTCTGACATGACGCACATTCCAAGAAAGATAACCTATACATTTAATATGATGATTCATCCCCTTTGTCTACCACCACACAGAGGAAAGGATTAATTCACTTTCCTAAGTGGCTACAGCAATTGCCAGCAGTTACAAACAAAGGAAAAGAACTAGCATCTGAAGGCTTTAACGCTAACATTAGAGGGAGCACTTAAGCCTCTGAGAGGCCAAATTTACCTCAGACACATATGCTGTAGAAATTTAGCATCAGATTTCCTGCTTCTGTGTTATGCTGCACTATTTTGCAGTTTCACATGCAAAGCATCCCTACTGTGCTAATTTGAGCTCCCAAGATTAGGCTTGTAACAGCAATGTTGTCAAATGCATCTACATTACAGTGCCAGCAGCTTTGCTGGTGGCTGTTAGCATATAGGAATAGAAGCATGAAGGTTGCTCAGTCCAAAATGCTATGCAGATGTTTAACAGCTTACTGGTGGCCAAGGAAACTGATGTCCTACGTCAGCTAAGCTAAATAACCTTATGCCTCAACTACAGCCTCCAACGGTTCTCACTAAGTAGATTTACTATTATTACATATACAATAATGTGAAACCACAGTGCCAAGTTCTTTAGCTGCATTCTTCTCAAGAATTAGGAGATCGTAATGCATTGCTGTAGTATATGTGTGCATCCAAGCAGTGTGGCTTTTTGTAACTGATGTCTAAGTGGCATCCAAGGCTAACTATTGAATCACCACTGCTAGTTTATTTTTATTACTCTAGTTGGTCACACAGACAATCAGATGTTTAGGCTGGATATGGTATTTTTATCTACCTATCGAGTTCTTCCTAAGCACCTGGGAGGGGTAAATGTTAGAATCAGAATTAGAAAAAAGTTGGAAGGGACCTTGTAGGTCATCTAGTCCAACCCCCTGCCCAAGCCGGAGATCCTACACCATTTCTGACACATGGCAGTCCAGTCTCTTCTTGAAAACTTCCAGTGATGAAACTCCCACAACAGCTGAAGGCAAACCGTTCCATTGGTTGATTGTACTCACTGTCTGAAAATTTCTCCTTATTTCTAGATTGAATCTCTCCTTGATCAGTTTCCATTTATTAATCCTTGTCTGGCCTTCAGGTGCTTTGGAAATGTTTGATGGTGTTAAACCTATAGGTTACCACAAGCACCTTGAATTGCACAAAGTCAACTGATTACCAGTGCAGTTCACAAAGTAATGATGACAGGTGGGCACAAGGAGAATGACCATTATAACTTGAGACACTGTAGTTTAAACCAACTATAGCTTCTGGAAAAGTAAGTGCCAAAGT